GCAGAGGCCCAGTGAACAGCAGCGGGACACACCGCCGAGCTCCAGCTCGGTTTACTCAAGGTTCCTCACACTTGTGTGGCCTGCAGGTGGCCGACTATAAATAACAGGCCGTGTCCGAGGCTCTCTCAGCTCAACGCTTCACTTCGCTTGCTCACCTCACGCAGCACTCTTCACACTCCGACACGAGAGAGACGGCGGCTCTGTTAGCTCTGCCACTTACAATCAGGATTTATATTAGCAGTTATGTTTTTTATTTTGTTGTGTTTTATTACAACGCCTTGGCTGAAACGTTGCAGCTTTAACAGCTTTAAGGAGACGGCTCCTAACTTCAGTTTTTAGATGTCTGCGCTGAGAGAGGGAAAAAACCCCAGCTCTCGAAGGAAGCGCTTGCGTCACAGGCCAAAAAAACATGACGCACTTCAAAGTGCGAAATCCAGCGTGATTAACAGTCAGCGCTAGTAACTTTTAGCGTGGAGTGGCCAAAACTACTGCCTCAATCCACCGGGGGAGCAAACTGTGATTTAAAACTTGAACTTAATTCCCAGGCTATTCTCACCCGTACAGATAAGTGGATCATTACATCTTGAATTAATGTAACAATTAACTGATAAATGGTCAATGTTAACATTTAAATAACAAATGTAATGCATATTTTATTCATTACAAATATATTAAATTGCAAATAATTTTGTCTAAAGTTAGTCATGACAATTAGTGAATAAAATGACAATTAGTCATTGTTACAAGTGACTTATGAAGTATGAAAAATGGATATTCATTTGCTAAAGATTAAATTTAACAGTATTATTCGTTTAAAGGTTTTTGTTTTGAAGTTGTTCGCCAAGGCTACATTTATTTGATACAAATTGCAGTAAAAACCGTAATATTGCTAAATGTATTACAATTTTATTTACTTTTAATCAAAAGAATTACATAGATTTTTTTATAAATTAACCTTTATGAAATTTACCAAAACTTTTTAAAAATTATAATATTTGTATTAAATTTACATTACCGTTCGAAAAGTTGGTGTCGGGGGAAAAAAACAAAAAACAAAGAGTTTAAGTCATGCTCACTTGATTAAAAATGCAGTAAAAACAGTAATATTCTAAAATTACAATTTTATTTACTTTTAAATAAAATAATTACATGTATACATTTTATAAAATACATTTACTAAACTTTTTTCTTTTTAATTACTTTATTAAATTTACACTATTTTTGAAAATTTGTCAATGGTCAGTATTTTATTATGTTTTTAAAAGTCTTGTGCTCACCAAGGCTGCATTTATTGGATTAAAATTGAAATTATGAAATATAATTTTTATTTTTAATTAAAATTACATAGATTTTTATAAATTAAACTATTAATTTACTAAAATTTACTGAACTTTTTTAAATTAAATTTACACTACTGCTCAAATTTGTGGTCAGTATTTTGTGTTTAAAAGTCTCTTTTGGCTCAAAGGCTGCATTTATTTGATTAAAAATGCAGTAAAATCAGTAACATCATTAAAGATTGCAAATTAAAAATAACTACTTCGTATTTTAATATATTTAAAAAAATGTCATTTATTTCTGTGATGCAAAGCGGTGTTTTTTTAGCATCATTAGTCTCATGTCACATGATCCTTCAGAAATCAATCTAATATGCTGATAAAGTAATCATTATAATCTTGGATGAATACAAAAGCACAGCTATTTTTAAAAAGGAACTCTGAAAACTGACTGCATGGTCACTTTACCTTCACAAATTGCCGAACCAATTACTAAAAAAAAAAAAAAAACCTTTTCGGTGAAAAAAAAAAAAAAAAAAAAAAAATCTGCTAAAAATGTACGACCCCGTTTTCTGAACCAGCTCATCTCTAGGAGTGAAAGGGTGACTTCACTGGAGCTTCCTCTGGTCCACAGTAAGAACAAAGCTGCATGTGGAGAACTTCTGCTCCTGACAGGATGCTGCTCATCCCTGGAGAAGAACTTTGCCTTCCTCATTCAGAAAGAGCAGGCCGTCCATGTAACGCTCATGGATGCACCTGCCCTATGGACAAAGGTCAAATGTTGCAGCTGTGCAAATTTCAAGCCAGCCGATTGGTTACCAATGCGAGGCTGATGGGCCTGCAGGAGAAACGCATGTAGTGTTGAGTGTCTCCGCAGACTTTGTTCGGTGCAGCCAAATAAGCTGCACCGAACAAGGTTTCTCCTGCTGTCTGTCTGCTCACAATATGCCACAAAAGCTCTGATACAGCTATGGAGAAACACCGCTTTAATCCAGCAAATAGGCATTCTTATCTCACACGTGACGCAGTGAAGCGTGGTGGAGTGTGAACGTGCAGTTCCTGAGGAGTCAGAGTAAATACACCGCGATAGTCAATCCTAATGATGAAACTCTTCAAATCTAGACACAGACGGTTTGGTGTCTCTGACATCTGACACTAATAAAACAGTACCGTGGTATTACAACACAGGCATCATTTAGTTCCACATTATATCTCGAAGTGCAGTGTAGCTTTTGGCAGATAAAATTATGGCCGATACCAACACGCTGATAATTATTTTACTGTTATGGCCAATAACTGATATATGGCAATTATTTAAATTAATTTATATTAAGTGATTTATTTTAATTTGACAAAATAAAAAAAATCATTTTTTAAAATTATTTAAATAGTGCATAATAAGTGGCTTAATTATACAAATAATTCATAATAAAATATTAAATGTATAAAATACATTTCTAAAATAAAAAAAAATACTACTAATTATGGTATTTTTAATGGTGCCTTTAACTAGGCAAATTAATAGGGATGCACCAAAGTTATTGGCAATATCGATAATTAATTTTTTATGATAGTCAATAACCGATATATGGCAAATATTACATTCCTATATTATTTTTCTAAATAAATTAAGTTTCAAAACGACATGCATTTTTTGTTTTAATAACAATTATTTTCAAAATATGATTATTATTAGTAGTAGCAGTAGTATAATATCGGCTGACAACCGATACACTACCAATTATGCGTATATTATGCTAAATAAATAAAATTACAAAGCTAAATACATTATTTTTGTTTCACAATTAATTCTTTTAATTATTATAATATCAGCTGATAAACGAAAAAAAATTGTCATTTATTTTGGCTAAAACATGAAAATAACTGCTTCATTGGTATTTGCCAGAACTTTTGCCAGATGGGTATCTGCCCAATTTCTGTTCCACTAAAGAAAGAAACGTTTTGAAAGACCGAGTAAATGACAGATTTGTCATTTTACTGACCGAAAGTTTTGGAAACATACACATAAACGTCACCTCTCCAAATCAGAAAACATGGTGGTTTTGTTTGGATGCTTGTAACAATTGCAGTCATGTTTCTGCACATTTACATAAGATGTGCACGCAAGAGAAGTTTAAATGGCTCCGAGGCAGACAAACCACATTCTTCAACATGATGCAGATAACAGCAACATGAACATTTATTAGGCTGTTCACTGTCAGGTCTGGGGTGAGCTTGAGCGCATGAAAAACCAAAACTGGATGCACAAAAAAGCATGTGGGTTCTGATCTCAAGAGAGGAGGACATTTCTAATGCCAGTGTAGGGCATGTGTCCACAGCTACAGGCTACGATCTTAAGACACTTCTTGTCTTATACTTCCAAGAAAGAGATACAAAGTGGAGATAAAAACGCACTGCAGATCCATACTAATGGCCGTCTGTGACTCGATGTTGATTTTGCAAAAACGAGCAGAGGATATTGTGGTTACTGCGATGGATGACTGTGTAGCAGGAAGTCATCAGAAGTCTCAGTGCTTTCGCATTACCTACACAACCAGGATACTTCACAAGAACTGGGGAGAGTCCCAGGGTCACGCAAGGTCTGCAGCTCCATGATGGAACATGACAATAAATGTTTCAAGTTGTTTACGCCCACAAAACAAACAGTTTAAAATAAAATTGCATACTCACCCCTTGGTTTCCTGTGAATCCTATAAGTGGTTTAGCAGTCAGGCCCTTCAAAAAATACAAATAAAAACAAGACAAATTAGTCATTAACCAGTAATGAAAATCAAAACTAAACAGCATTCACATTAAAATGTATTTGTGCATATACATTCTTATATCATGAATATGAACAAGTAACGTAACTTTTGTCACGTAATTAAAATTCTGGTCTCAATTCATAAGTAACAAAAATAATTTATATAAGTCATTAAAATATTATGGTTTCTCAAATCATTAATGTAAAATAGGGGTGGGCGATCTAGCCTCAAATTATATCATGATATTTCAAGAATATTTGTGACAACGATATTTATAATGATATAGAAAAAAAAAATATGGAAGAACGCTTTATTGGTGGTGATTGCAGCTGGCAGGCAACAGCATTTATTAGTGCAAACAAAATGAAGGCCATTTTCCATCCTTTTCCAATGAGCTACTGTCATTGATGACAGACTACCTAATTCGAAGTGTAAATCCATCGTCATAAGGTGGCACTGGCAGCAGCAGCTGTGTGCTCGACTTGAGGCAGACCGATCGGTATATGGCGTCAAAATACCACGAGAGTGACTTGCCACTTTTTAACATCCGTCAAAAATAGGCGAGGCGCCTATTTTTAGCGAAGCGGTGCGGAGAGCCGCTTCTGAAATGTGGCGCGGCTGGTGTAAAAACAAGCATTGAATTGAGTGGCCGCGATCAGCCGGCGAGAGCATCAAAGTGGCCAGAAGTCATTCATTTTCAATATGAGCCGGCGGCGAACAGCGGCAAGAAGCAGCACGTCTTGGACGGTGAGGGTGTCGAGGAGAGTTGAAATCAGGTCAACTTTATGGTAATGAGCTATGACGAGGTTGGGCAGCAACCAATCTGAGTGTAGAAGTCCTCCGCTTGAGAGGATTCCAGAGAACGCAGCCCAGTAAACTTTGGTTCAGACCACATTAGATCCCAAGCATTTTCACGCTAGAACGCTTGTTTTTCAGCGTGAACGCAATTCATTTGCTCAAAACAACACCGATTTGACCAATTGCATTTAGACTACACTTCAACCAGAACAGTTTGTAATGTAGGCTGCGCACAAATTAATGTTAATGTTAAAGACCAAGGCTAGTAAACGTCTCCTATAAACTGCATGTTGAAATTAGGCTAGCGCTTAACCATGAACAAAACCACACAAATGTTTTTTATTGGTTTATTTTGTTAGCAAACATGTAACTATAATTGTTAAAAGTTGTTTTCATCGATCAATTTCTTACTTTCACATTTAAAATATTTCATGATTAACTTATACCGTACTTGTGGTCAGTCTGCACAAGATCAACATGCTTGTTTCCTTCGCGGCTCCTTTAAATACAAGACAAGCATTCGATCTACGTCAGAGCGTCAACAAATGTTTCTACAGCGTTGTTAGCAAGGTGGCCATAGCCGCTGGCGGCAGTATGCATGCATATATATATACACATGCATACATACATACGTATGCATGTACAGTGGCTATAACAAAGTGAAATTTAAGGGGGTCTGAATACTTTCCGTACCCACTGACTGTATGTATGTATATGTATATATATATATATATAAATAAATTCATAATGTAAAAATATTGTATATAAGCAATTTAATTAAAATTACTACATGTACATTTTTTATATTAAAGTAAAAATGACTATATAAATTAATAAGTAGACCTAATGTAAAAATATTTATATATTTTATAATGTTATTAAAATACTCTAATGAATGTAAACATTTAAATATGTAATTAAAATGACAGGATCTGTAAATTAATTACATTGATAAATTTTTTTAATTACGGTTTATCTCAACTTATTCATAAATTTTCTTAGGTAATGTAATTTGTTATAATATAAATAGAGTAAAAAAAATTTAACTTTATAAAAAAAATTTGTAATTGCATTATATTTACATTGATTAATTTTATACTTTTTTATAAATTGTTTATTTAAAAGCTTGTACATATATTACCCTGACTTAAGAAGTACAGTAAATTAAAATAAATACATTTTAAAAACTAATTTTAGACATCAAGCACCGTTTAGAAGGCGAAATTATGAAATGAGGAATTATAACCAGATTTATGTTTTATGCATTTCAAGTTAACAAGCATTGGCATTTCCATTAGTCAAAGCAGTTTAAATTTACAAGATGCTCTCAGATACTTCAAGAAGGGATCAAACAGTCTTCATGCATTTATTGGTGCTTGATCAACACTAGAAATGCAGCCGAAACCTCTACCAAGTGCGGCATAATACACCCCCGAAACCACGTCTGGTATTTCAGATGTCAAACACAGGACGCACAAGTGCAATAAGAGGACGCTTTACAAGTAATTCCCCGCTTGAGCCATGTGGTCCGTTTCCCAATATAAAGAGCTTTAGATCAGGCAAGAGCAGCTTCAGCAGGCACTCAAAAGACTGGAGAATGTGCCAAGAAAACTAAAAAAATAAAAACACAATGAGGTCAACAAATCAGACACATGGCACTCAGTTAAGTCTAGTCTATGACATTTATATAGAACGTTCTGGAATAATTACATACACGAGTGAACTACGTCGACTACATGCCCTTGAGTAGCGCAGACTACTTGAATATGAAAGGTCCAACTCCGGCCATCAGTCTAAAGCAATCATGCCACCTACGACCCACTTCAGACTAAATAATGCATCTTTTATAGACAAGTATTCATCGACATCAAAGCAATTTTCAGTAAACAAGCTAGGTGCATCTCGGGCTGACGGATCAATCGGAGCGCGAGCCACTTTTTACATTAATGTCAGGCCGGAAAAGGCTGATTGCTCTGCTCCATTTATTCAGCCAATCAAACGACTGTGCTTTGGCACTAATTAGTGAGTCAGATGAGCTGGAAACCGTCTGACTGGATGATTCAGACTGAATTTCAGAAAGAAAGAAAAAAGAAAAAAAAAAGGAAAAAAATAGAGCCTGAGAAGAGCTGGTCTGGTTAGGTCGCACCAGTCACTGAGGACTCGTTTCTTGGAAGGAAGTGTTTCTCAAACCACAGAGTAAACAAAACGTGTCATACTTCCTTCCTTAAAGAAAAGCGGAAGATTGTACCAGCGGGGAGGACTGGAGGCGTTTTGGAGCGACAGTAAAGATTTTTAAGATGTCAGCCAAACAGATCCCACCTGTTTTTCACGTTTTATTCGGGTTTGCTAAGACTAGCATCGCAACTATGCATAATTAAGGTTTAGGGTTTGTTTAAGAGGTTGTTAAAGTCAAAGTTTACACTATTTACTTCAACACCCACTGCTAGTGGTGAACAATTAACCCATGGAAGTAGGGGTGGGCGATATGTCCAAATTCTAATCACGATAGGATTAATTTTATTTCACAGTAACTATATATCACGATATAGCCTTGTTAATTTTGCTTTAAATAAGGTCTTTATGATATTACAATTTTTTATACCATATACATTTTATAATTTTTAATCACAAGTGTCAATATCCCAAGAAACTAATACTAGCCTAAATTAAAAAAAAAAAAAATTTAAAACAAAAAAAAAAAGGCAAAGCTCACTGAGGACAAGCAAACAGTCAGCGATTACATAAGAATAAGAAACCATTTACAAGCAACAGGACAAAAAAAACTACAGTAGAATAAATAAGAAATGCTACATATATTGTATAAAGTAATTCAAATGTATGAAAACACTGCATATTCTTCACTGTGTGTAAATTAAATATTTCTTAAAGTTACAAAAGTGATTTAATCAAAAGCAGTGAGAGATTCTCACTTTTGTTGTTTTGTTCCAATGTTACACGTTTTCTTTCTCAACTGTTCGACTTTCACTAAAGACCTAAACTACGGTGTTTACGAGGATACTTGCAAAGGTGGGCATTTTGACACAAGTGCGTGTAATGGTTCAAGGCCTATAAAGCAGCAAAAATAACTCTTTACATGCGCCTCTGACAGCGCTCAGAAACAGTCTCTCAGACGGCATGAGCATATAGTGAAATGAGTTTTCTTTTGCTGCTGATTGCATAACGTTACGTGAGCATGTAAATGCGATAGATGCGGGGGAAAAAATTGTCCTGGCTAGGGCTGCAACAACTAATCGATAAAATCGATTATTATCAATAATGAAAATCGACAACTATTCTCATTATCAATTAGTCAGGTCTGCCCACAGTGCACATCCAACTTCAGTCGGTTGCATCAAATTACAGCTCTGAATAATGCATTTCTATGGACAAAATGCATATCAAAACTAACTATCATATCCTTATCTGTAATAGTCACAAATTGAGTGAGTGAGTGAGTGACGTGACATGTGGCCAAGTATGGTGTCCCATACTCGGAATTAGTGCTCTGCATTTACCCATCCTAAGTGCACACACACAGCAGTGATCACACACAAACCGTGAACACGCACCCGGAGCAGTGGGCAGCCATTTATGCTGCAGCGCCCGGGGAGCAGTTGGGGGTTCAGTGCCTTGCTCAAGGGCACCTCAGTCGTGGTATTGAAGGTGGGAGAGAGCGCTGTACATTCACTCCCCCTACCTACAATCCCTGCCGGTACGAGACTCGAACCCGTAACCTTTTGGGTTATGAGTCCGACTCTCTAACCATTAGGCCACGAATTCCCCGCGAGCATTCACGCGAGCCTTTCCATTTTTGCATAAAGGCCCGCCCTGACAGTCTGCGTTAAGTTGAAATCTTTTCTGAAAGAGCGCCGGCAGGAACACCGAGAGGGAGACAATATTCAGTGCAAAAACATTAATTGTGCTGAAATATCTGTTGTTAAACATTACATTTAGGTTTAAAAGTCAACATGCAGTGCGAGTAATTTATGAGGGTAAGAACTGAAGGGACAGCAGCGTGTAATTGTCTGAATATAAATGTCAGACGCTTTTACAGGATAAAGAAACGACAGTAAGAGACTGACTGTGATCAAAGTGCACGCGACACGTGTTCCTGCAGAACATTACTGTGATTTTAATCGTCTTTATTTTAATTTTCGATCTAGAGATTTAAAC